AGTGAGACGGAGGCCATTGGGATACATCCGGTGCGTTAGATGTTGGAGCTTACAAGGTTGGCCCAGGGCGTTCTGACCAAGGAATGTGGGGCAGGACTGATAGGGTATGACTCAGGACTATGTGACCTCCAGTAAGGGCCCCAGTACGGTGCTCTCCATCAAGGACACACCAGGGAAGCCCCAGGGAGAGACTGCCCTTTATTGGGATGGCCACAGAGGAAGGGGAAATAATCCTCTTTCTAATACACTCTGAAGAAAAAGACTGTGTACACCCTTGGTTAGTGATCAGAGGGAATTCAATGGAGCCTTGATCTACATGGGAGGGGAGTGGGGCGGGGGCGAGCTCTGCAAATGGATTCAGGGTTCTCCCTGTCATCCTTAGCCCCCTGCAAACATACTGCTCAGAATTTAAGCTCGAAGACAGTTCCCATCCCAGGCTGCATTTCACAAGGCGGGCGGGCGGAGCTGGGGGTTCACAGGAGGGGTGGGGGCCCCGGGGACACTGGCGCATGGGACCTCACCCCGTGCGTGAGCTGCCTTATAAACTTCGGGGCGCCGGGCCGCCCTCCCGGGGCTGAATGCTGAGATGGCACTCCCAGACGGCCGACATGAAAGCCGGCTCGTAAAAGGGTCCGCGTCATGCGGGCGAGGAACCAGGTGGCGCTTGGAGATCCGAGGGGGATGAAAGGCGCGGGGTGAGACGCCCCGCGTGCCCCCGGCTTGGCTGGGCAGGGCTTCCCGGGGCCGATGAAAGCCGGGGGACTGCGCTCAGAGGAGCTTCGGGCCTTTCCGGGGAGGAAGCTCCGGCCACTCGCCACGGCGGGGAAGGTGGTATCGCGAGCGCCGACCCTCCCGATTCCGGGGTAATCCGATCCCTACCCCGCCCAGCCTCCGGCGAGCCTGACGCGGTTGGCAGTTCCTATGGCAACGCGGCTCAGGAAGCCTTGAAAACAGCCGCAGCCCGGAGGAGTGGGAACCCCTTCCGTCGCCTTCCGACGCGCGGGCAAAGTGGCGCCCCCTACGCACCGGAGCCGTCCCTGGGCCCCCGCCTCCGCGCGGAGACCCCCGTGGACCTCCGGGGGCGGGAGGTCGCTCTGGCCCCAAGCGGAGCCTCTCGCTGGTCGACGGGCCCGAGGGAGCCCCTCTGGGCGCAGCGCCGCCGAGCGGCTCGATGCTCCGACCGGAAGTGCTCTTCACCGCCCGCCTCCCACCCGGCTCTCTGGTCCCGGCGGTAAGATGGCGGCTGCCGCGGAGTGCGATGTGGTAATGGCGGCGACCGAGCCCGATCTGCTCGACAACGAAGAGGCGAGGAGGTAACCGGGCGGCAGGGGGGTGGGCCTTCCTTTCCGTGGCTCGGGGACACCGGTCCCCGCCAGGATGCAGCCCCCAGCTGTCGGAGCGAGGCTCCGCCCTCTGCGAGCCCCCCCTTTGCATCTGAGATCAGGTCCGGATGGACCCCTTGGAGGGGCACTCTGGGGGTCGGCCTTCCCCGTCAGCTTCCGCTTGGCGGGGGGAGCTGAGGCGCGGCCTTTCTCGCCATCTGGGAGGAAGGTGGACGGAAGGCTAGAGCCCGGGTCTGAGGGCATCTCCGAGGTCTGTCGCGGGGTGGGGGAGGCGGCGCGGCGACGATGACGACTTCCTGACATCGCCCCGGACCCCCGCCTTCGCTTGTTAACTTGTGTGCATTGTTTGCTGTTAGTACGTTGCCTCTCCAAAACCCTGGTCCTCCCGGTGCCGCTCCCCAGTCCTTCTACCCAGGTGCCCACGAGGCTGGGGCCGCGCTGTTCCACGATCGTGCGTATCATTATTGACCCGGACAGCTCGCCACCCCCTGAGCCATTGCCCCCACACCCCGCAAACCGACCATGGTGAAGGAAGAAGAGTGAAGAGGCTTCTGGTGCTCACCTCCCCCAACCCCCCAGCCTCCGCAGGAAGAGCCTCGTGCGCCCCAGGACTGTCATTGTGTAAATTAAGCAGCAGAGGCGAAGGGCAACTGCTTGGGCGCTGCTGGCGCTGCTGGGCAGCTGCAGGGGCTCCGCGTGCCAGCCCGGACTAGCTGAGCTGCGGATGAGTGAGTGGATTTCGAGAACACTCTGGCTTCTGGCTGTTACAGCTCAGCCAGCTGATTGGAAGAAGCGTTTGCAACACTGTGGCAAGTAGTCGGTCATACTTGTTCTAATCCTACAGCCGAGCTGACAGCAAAGGTCCAGGGAGCTTGGAGTCCTTTCCTTAGGAGCAGCAAATTCATGGGCGCCTTCTTCATACCGGGCTGATGACAGTGCCCTCAAAGTCTCCTTCATCTGTTTCATATCTTTGAGTCTAGTCCCTTTCAGCTTCTTCAGGCTACGTGCTTTCAGGTGGCATGTGGAATTGGTCCTGAAATCGGAAGGCAGGATTGGGGGTTTGGGGCAAGTTGGAAACCCAAGGGGAACTCACTCAGGCAGAATGGAAATGGTCCAAGCTTCGGGACCTGAGTGCCTCCGGTTCCAGGCTTGTTGGGAGCCCGGGAGCCTGGCAGGATTTGGGAGGTTCCTGCTGGATTCCAGTGTCATCAGCTCATGTACATCATTAAGGAATTAACCAAATGGGAGACACAGTTCCCTCAATGCAGAACTGAAACAGACTGCCAGGAGTGGCTGTGCTTGCATTTGGAAGAAAACTCCGTGATTTTAGTAGGGACTCGAGCTATGTGTCATTGACAAAACGCATTCTCCGTGTACCTCTCTGAAGATAGGGACTGTCTCTAATTTGGATTTCACTTCCAAGTCCTCTCGTAATGAAAGCAAATATTTTCTCTTAAGGGGGAAGAAAATCCACAGCTACAGCCTCTGTCATGGGAGGCATCTTGAGGATGTTCACCTTCATGGGCAAGGCTTGTTTCTGTACAGCAGTTTTTCAGTGTTGGAAGTGGGATTGGGATACAGAAGCTTTGGAGGAACGTGATGTCACTTTTTCCACACCCCCCCACTTCCCAGGAACCTTCTGCGTAGCCGTAACAGAAGGCAGGGCAAGGACAGGTCTTGCTCTTTTACCGTCAGGCTTTGGTGAGAGCCTTTTGGCCAGGTTCCTGTCTCTCGTTACAGCCCTACTACCAGGTCACTTGGGGACACTCGCGCTGTTTTTGTGAGGCCCCACAGCAGCTGATGCTTGATTCCAGTAGGAAGCCCTTTCTTCCTTGTAGCTTGGTTCAAGGTCATCCTGCTGCTCCTGTTTGTGCTGCAAAATTGTCATTGGGGCAAGACGAGTGGCCTTTCCAAGATGAAGGACGGCATGGTTGCAACATTGTAAAATGGCTACACACTTTGTTTCCCCAGCTTTGGTGTTTCAGAGAGAAAAGAAATGGACCCTGTTCTTTTAGCCTGCCACTCTGATCAAGTTCTCTTCTCCCATAGCAACTGAGAGGCTGAAATAAAAGGTATTCGTTGACATTCCAAAATAGATCAGGGTTCTGTGCATGGAGATTATGTGCTCACCTCTTAGCCCATCAGGACAGATGGGCAGAGTGTTACGTTTCAGAGGTTGTACATCGCAGGTGATTTTACAGCATTAACCTCACGTTTCTTGGGAAGCTACTGACTACTTGGCCCTGACGTGTGGCTGTCATAGGGCCCATCCTGTCCAGTGATGGTCCCCTTGTCAGAGTCTCTGAGCCGCAGTGTTTCTCTAGGTGGTTTTAATGGACTAACATTGAGGACTTTGCAGTTGTTCACCAAGAGAGGAACAGGTCTTTGCCCTAGCACATTAATGATCCAGCAGTGTCTGGACAATCAGGCCTGACAGAACCAGAGCACCTTTGGAACCAGGACATTGTTGCCCCATTCCTGAAACCGATCATCTCTTTTCCTGATGGAAGCAGTAAGCACAGTGCCTTCGACTCCTTAGTTTAGTACCTGAGTATTGTACCACCTTTGTGCATTAGGGTTTTCCCTCTGATCCCTCTCCACGTTGCCGGCCGGAAGCAGTGACTCCTGAGTCCGTGTCTGAGGGTCTGCAGTGGTGACTTGTCTGCTGCGGCCGAAGGGGTTGTGAAGTGCGTGGCCTCGTTCCACTGAAAAAGCCTGGGGGATGCTTTGCGCCGTTTTAAGTACTGTGGAATCAGTCTTCCTAATCTTTCTCTCGAAGTTCCAGGGCAGACAGCTAGATATTTTTAACAAAGTGGACTAGAAATTTATCTGGAAGCCAAGTCACCGAGAAACACTACTCAGCCAGCTTTCCTGTTCGTTTTAGCTTACTCTTCCATGTGGGCAGGAGCCCCGGTGGCACTGTGGGTTGGGCAGTTGACCACAAGGTTAGCCTTTGAGCCCGCACACCACTCGGAGGAAAAGACAAGGGAAAGACGCCTGTAAAGATGTGTACTTTCGGAAGGCCGGCGGATCAGTCCTCTTCTGCCCTCTGCAGGCCTGCTGGCAGTCAGAACGGACTCGAAGGCTTTGGTTCAGTGTGGTGTCCTGGAGCTCCGGTGGCACAGATGTTTCCGTTCTTGGCAATGCCCCCTACCCAGCTGTCCTGGAGGCGAATTGCTCCTGTAAAGATGACAGCCAAGAAAACGTGTATGGGGCGGTTCTCCATCACAGGGGGTCGCTGTGAGTCAGAATTGACTGGAAGGCACACAGCAAGTGTGGGATCAGAGATGGGACAGATGAGTCATGGTGAGGTAGGGATAAGCCCAAGAATACAGAATCCTCCATCCCAGCTGGCCATTGAATCCTTCTGTTGTTAAAAGGCCCTGTGTTCAATCGTCGTGATGACTGGTGCAAAGTGAAGAGAAGGAGACAAGGCTGTTCTCGTCTTTGGGCGTTGCTTCAGACCCACAGATTACTCAGCTGGGGAAACCGAGGAATTTGGAGAAAAGTTTGGGCCAAGTGAGTGGCAGTTGCTCTAGGGTCTAGTCCGTTCCCAACGATCAGAACTCTGATTGGCCTAAGACCCAGGCCTACTGTACATTCCAGCCAATCAGACGTTAGTTTGGTCATTGAACTCTTATTTTTAAAGTTTTCAAATCTGAGTACTGGGCACCTGCTTTGGCTTCTTTGGTTAGGGCTTTACAGGATTGGAGAACGATGGTCAGTGGCTGCCCAGGTGCCTGGTGGCCTTATTCAGCTCGTGTGTGGTCCCCCTTCTCCAGCGCGGAGTGATGTGGAAGTTACTTCGAGGGCGCTCCAGGTATGCCTTCAGGCTATCCCAACATGGGCAGTAAGAGCAGGACTTGGTGCCCGGTTTCACTTATTGGCTTGAGCCAATGGTAGCTCTTAGGTTTCACCCCGCGCCACCAAGATGGCAGGACTGGGAGTGGCACAGAGCCTTTTGAGAATGGCAGTTTCAGTGGGTTGGGTTTGGGTTTGGTAAACAGACCTCTATGGAGCAATGGAGGTGTCGTGGTTACCCATTGGGCAGTGTGGTGGGCAGCTGAAACCCCCCAGCACCTCCTAGGGGGAAAGCCTGGGCTGGGACTCCCACAAGCCACGGCAGGTGGCTATGAGTCAGCATTGAGGCCATGGCAGTGCAACAGACCTCTGGCTCCCGCGGAATGACAGGTTGTCACTGGGAGGAGCCGTTGACCTTTTCTCATTTGTAAATGACTGTTAGGTAGAGTCCACTGACTGGCACTTCGTCCATTAAGGAGAACTGCAGGCAGCTATTTTCCTAAGAAGGGCGTTCTGCCTGCCGTGATTTGGCTTCTGTCCCATGAAAGAAGGCCCTGCCGCCTGGCGTCCTTCTCTACTCCAGCAGCAGAGAGTGCTGCTGCCCGTGCAGTCCATCCGTCCCTCTGTCTGTTATCCCTTGGTGCTGCTTGCCCCGCTGGGCCCTGCCACCGGTGTGGTGTCTCCCAGAACTGAAATGTCCTGACTCAGGACAGTGTGAACTGGGGTGTCAGTGAATTGTTTTTATGGTTTTTGTCTCTGTACCTTCCCCCCTCCTTGCCTAGAGGCGGGAAGGAAGCAGGGTGGGTGGGTTAGGGTGCTGGAAAGTGAAAGCAGAAGCTGGTTTTCTGTTCGGTAAAGAAAGCCCTAGCAGTGGATCGAACCACCCTCTGGGCCGTCCGAAGCATGTAACAGTCTCACGTACTTGGACATGTTGTCAGAGACTGGTCCCTGGAGACAGGCAGCATGCTTTTACCAAGTAGAGAGGCAGCAAAAGAGAGGACGACCCCTGGCTGGACAGATGGACCGGTGACTGCAACTGTGGGCTCAACCACAGGAGCACGTGTGAGGGTGGCACGGGACCCGCCAGTACTGTGCTGGAACTGACTCGATGGCACCTAACCATATCAATGTCGCAGTCACGCATATGTTTGTGGAATTGCCTCAACCGT